TTTTGGTATTGGTGGGTTAATCCTATTATGTTTCCTGTCCTTAGAGTTTGGGTGGGGAATGTAGATTTTAGGGATCTTTGTCTTCCTAATCTCATCAGCTTCTAGCTTCCTGGCACCAACCTTTCTGAAAGGATTATCACATCTGCATTTCTAAAAGCTGGCCTCTGCCTAGTTTCTGCTTGGGGAAGAGGGGCTGGGGCTGGTTTCTATCTTTTTTTTAAAGATCTTCTCCATTATTCCTTTGGGGAAATATATTCTGACTTTTCAATATTCCCCAAAATATTTCTTTCTCTGGATTCTTCTCACAGAAGAATACAAATCAAAAGGAAAGCTCTGTGCTGGCAGGTATGAGCATGCTACACAAATAACCCAAGGGATTGTCTATCGTGTGCCTGCTTCGTTTCATGTTATTGCTGCTTCTTCAGTGTCTCTACCCTGTAAGATCAGGAGCAGGGCAACATGTACTGATTGTGAAACTGGAAACTACAGAAGTTGTGATTGTGGTCATTGGTCATAAGGTTTTTTTTTTCAGCACCATTGTAACTTTGAATGGTCACTGAACAAGGCAGTCAGTAGCCAAGGATTACCTCTATTTAAATTCAACAGATGGTCTATTTACAACCAGGAACATTAATAATAATTACTTCTTTCCTTGCAAAATGAAACAATAAACTTGCTGAAAATATGGGTGGGTTGCTAACATTTTATTGTCTCCTATGATAAAAGGGGAGATGAAAATACGCACTATTTTATTTATGGCTAAAAAGTCCAAAAGCAAATTACAAACATAATCTAAACTTGACAGTGGATAAAACAATTTAACAGGTACAATATTGAATGAATATAATAGCCTTAAAGCCCAGCTCATTGAATTGTTATTAAAAATCTTGTTTTTATATCCATAGTTGAAAATCTGACTGTGGCCATAGTAATTTTAGTATTTTCACCTGCAAGTAAAATTTTTACATACTCAGAAATATATCTTCCTGATTGGGATTTTAGAATTGGCCAGATAACTTCTTGCTGAAACCTGAAAACTCTTGGTATAATGGTGAATAAGACAAACAATACTTTGGCAATTAATTCCTGTACTGAATTATCCCACAGTCTTTGCTTGAAAAAATTAATTGCTTGTGACATACCTCTGGAGAATAACAATCAAGACCAATGCCAATCTGATTAAACTTTTGAATCACGTGTTTAAACCACGTATCTACAAAGGATTCATCTGGGATTTCCCGAAACAATATTTCCTTGTTTCTCTCCCCTCTGTCCACCTCTTTGTCTCTGTCTGTCTGTCTGTCTCTCTAAACTTAACGATGCTTAACCAAGTCTTTGTTATCAAAGAGTACTGCTGGGTTTCCAGGAGAATAACAAAACACAGTTAGGGACAATTTAAAAAGGTCTTTAAAATGTCATCAGTTCATATGTTGTTATTAGCAAGTGTGATCCAACCTGGAGCTCCATATAAAATTTGAGGTGCAATTTTGGCATTAAAATGTATATTTTTGCAGGAACAAATCTTCTTCCTTTTCTGTTTCTTTGAAAAACAGTTTTTGCTACTTTTAGAGATTTTAAAGTGGCTTTTGACTCTGTTAACAGAACCAAACTTTGGGCTAAATTGGAGAATTTGGTTCCCGACAGGCATCTTACATAACTAAATCAGGCACTATTTCAAGATAATATAAATTATATGCAGCAGAAAAAATTCACTTACAGTGTTCTTCTAGTCTTTCAGTGATGCCCCCATTGCTTCTGTAATTGAGTCTACCTACCTTGTTGCTGGCCATTCTCTTTTTTCCTTTCACCTTTCCCAGCATTAGTGCCTTCTGTAGGTAGCTAGGTTTTCCTATAATGTGTCTGAAGTAAGATAATTAGAGCTTGGTCATGTATGCCTTGAATAAGGCCTTTTGGTTGATTTCTTCAGTGTTCTATTTGTATGTTTTCTTGGTTGTCTGTCATATTCTCAGGAATCTTCTCTTAACACTAAAGTTCAAAAAAGTCAGTAATCTTCCTATCCTACTTCTTCAAAGTTTAACTTTCTCTTCCATTGAGTGCAACAGGGAAGAACGCTGCTCGCACTTGATTGTTGTAGGTGTAGACACCTCATAGCACCTGGATATCTAGTCTGCATCATATTTCTTGACTGCTTGTTTCTTTACTGTTGGTAGTTGATGCTGGAAAATAAAAGCTATCCACCACTTCAATACCTTCTCTGCCAATTCTAAGGCTGTTTTTTCTGTCTGTTGACCTTAGCTTGGTCTTCTTTTAAGTTTGCAGATAGTCTTCAACTTATAAACACAATTCAGCCTGGAATTATGGTGGTTAAGTCGTAATGATCATTAAGCGAGGCAAGCACATGATCACCTCACTTAACGATCATTCCATCTCTCCCCATTGTGGTCATTAAATGGAGCATGGAGTGCCTCCGGGGCAAGCCACATTGCAGCTCACATGTAGCCTCTGGTAGCCTCCTCCAACTCCCAAGGAACCTTCCTGTTCTGTTGGGTCCCACACCCCTGGGCCCCCTTCACCCCATCATCCCTCACTCCACTTATCTTTTCCGAAGGTTGTCTTTCTCAAGGAGAAGCAGCCAATCCAGGTGCCATTTTGGAAGTGGTCACTATTCTTGCATCCTGTGACTTTGTGAATTGTGGCCACTCACATAGTGATGCCTCTTTTTCAGGATGGCATCATATGGCCTCTGTATGGGAAGGGTGTGCGGCAGATCGTCTGCTTCTCTTTCCAAAAGAAGAGAAATCACCTTTTGGAAAGAAAGGTTGCTTTGTGTTGTGTTGTGTTGCCCTAAAGTGTGCAACATTTTGGGGGTGGCCATAATTCTTGAATCTGGGGTAGGCAGATGTCTGATTTTGCATACTTGCAGTAGATAAACACCTTTTCTTCCAGTAACCTTGCAGCCCTGGTTGCTCAGCCAACAGTCCTGAGTTTGGTCACCCATTTGCACCAGATGTCCAGGAACTCCCAACAGCTAGCAAGACCTTTACTGATCTGGACAATGACCAATCTGTAATTTTCTAAATTACATCTCATCATATTGTTCATGGGAGAGACACTTTTTGTCTGGTTCCTCTGATGAGACCTGCATTATGTTATTGCTGTGGTTCTGTTAAAAAAAAGGTTAGTGAGAAAGTAGGATTTTTTTATTCTAATAACTTTTTTTTGAGTTTGATGTAGAGGAAAGTTTATAATTACACTAACTTTATTTTTCTTTTAACCCTTTAAGATTCATTGACACAACTCCTAAATACTTCTACTACCAGAGTGAATTTGGTGTTTGTGTATGTCTGTGTATGTAACAATAGAAATTAGTAGGCAGGATATATTGGTCTGTGAATGTTAAATCTACTCTCTATCCAAAAAGAAAGTTATGATTTGAGGCTTTGAATATATAAACCATCTCTTACTTTCCTAAGCTGATTCCTGCAAATAAACCAATCTTGTGGACAGAAAAGAGGTTTGAAGACATAGAATTGCTCTAGATCAGGGGTAGGCAACCCAAAACACTCAAAGAGCCACTTGGACCCGTTTCACACCAAAAACAAAACACCGGGAGCCGCAAAATCCTTTTGATATCTAAAATGAAGATAACACTGCATATATCCTTTTTTACCTTTATTATAGGAGTGTGTGTGTTTGTGTGTGTGTGTTTGTGTGTGTGTATATATGTGTGTGTGTGTGTATATGTATACACACACACACACACACACACACACACACACACACACATATATATATATATATATATATATATACACGTACATACACATACAGGTAAAAAAAGGATATATGCAGTGTTATCTTCATTTTAGATGTCAAAAGGGTCTCTCTCTCTCTGTGTCTCTCTCCCTCCCTCCCTCTCTGCCCTTGGTCTGCCACTCCTCTTCCCCCACTCTCTTTCTTTCTCTCTCTTTCCTCTCTCTCTCCCCCTCCCTCTCTCTCTCTCTTTCTCTCTCTCTCTTCCCCCCCCATCTGCTGCTCACCTGGCAAGCTTCAAGTTGTTCTCCAACAATCTCCGGGGTAGGCAACCTCGTCTCTTTTATGACTCATGGACTTCAACTCCCAGAATTCCTGAGTCAGCCTAGCTGGGCTAGCTAGCTCTCTCCTGCCCTTCCTGCTTCCTGCAGAGAGCAGCAAAGGGAGGAGCTCCGCCCAGAAAGCTTTTCAGCTCCTCGGAGAACACTGTGAGTGCAATCTTTTTTTTTTTACACACACACATACACACACACACACAAAGAGAGAGAGAGAGAGAGCACACACACACACACACACAGAGAGAGAGAGAGAGAGAGAGAGAGAAGCAGGGAAGCGCAATTGCCTCTCTCTGTCTCTGTCTCTCTCTGCAAAGGCAGAGGAGGCTGGGAGCCACAGGGGAAGGCTCAAAGAGCCGCATGCGGCTCCGGAGCCGCAGGTTGCCGACCTGTGCTCTAGATAAATTCTTGAGTGTTATCCCCCACAGGCCTGCTAGTGCTGCTTTTGCTGTAAGATTACATAATATAAGTAACCAATATCTACTATAGCCCATGCATTAGCAGCTGTGCTTTATTAACAAATGGCAAAGAACAGGCATCACCCATTTCCAACTTCTTTTTATTTCCCAGACCTTCACAAACATTTAATTGAGGCTTCAGTTAGGGTAGTCTGGGAAAAATACCCATTTAAATAAGTAATCAAAGGGTTTGGAGATTATTGGTATTCACAACTACAGTGGCCACTGAGCTCCCAGCCAAAAGAATGAAAACACCTATATGAGTTGTAGCACATGCGGATCCTTAAATTCCTAACACTGAAAGTTGATTGCAATCCACCACTCATTTAGATTTTGAATTACAAGATTGGCAAATACAGTAGCAGAACAATGTGACAACTCTGATGTAGCAGTGTGTAAGCCACCTACTCAATGTATTTAATGAAAGATTGCGTTCAAGTAGTTTCACAATAGCTTCATTATAATAAATCTGAAGTAATCACATACCATCAAAAACATGAAAACACCAGAACTTTTATTGTGGATGAAACTTATAGCAAGATCTTTTATAATAATGGCATAGCGTCAACCAAAGACTTGTAAAAATATAATGCTAAAAATCAAATCAATAAAAAAATCAATCAAAATCAATCTGTTTTATAACCATTTTGAGTAACTAGTAGAACTGTAAATATTTCTATTGGGTCAGACAAAAATATCACAGAACTCAAATTGATGTTGACTTAGAAAAGATTTGCATAAGTCTCCAATGTATACATTAGCCAACCTCTTCTAGCATCTGCTAGGAATGTACAAACCAAAAGGGGAAATCATGTTAACTGGGTCAAAACTGGGTCAAAAGAAGAAAACCAACATCTATACTTTTATTTGTGACTTAGGCCTGGAAATCAGTCCAGTAAAAAAATGAGTCACTATAGAATATTGTACTATAAAAGTTCAGATTTTAGAAGGCAAGTTGTGTAATATATTGTTTAGCTGAAACTGCACTTTTGATTATTCTTATGTAATTTAAAATTTAACAATTCTAAAGCTTCAAACACAAAGCCACAAACTGAATTGCTGATAAATATAAACCATAATAGTTTGAACAATTTTGAGAGGCCCAGTTTTGTATAGATCTTTATTTTGCCAATAATAGATAATAAATGTTCAAATCAAAGGTTAACTTAATTACAAAGAGAAACAGGCAGAGGACACGTCCTAATTTTCAAGGGAGGAGGCACCATTACAGAGTTGTCTTGATAGCTAACAAATGATAGCCTGATTCTTCTGATTACTTTTTTTAAAATGCTATGTTGGATATAGGTGTGACCATCTGAATATACATACTGATGTGTGGCGCCCACAACTAATTCTCATGAGAAATTCATACCTTGAGCAAGATCTTTAGAATCTGATATTGTTTGAAACAACTGTAGTTGTGCCCCAATATTTGGTTTCACCAGCATATTATCATATCATTTCTTGGTTGTTTATAGGATTACTTAAGGATCAGTCAAACCAATGATCTCCCATGCAAGTTCTGTTCCATTCAAGGCTACACTTCCAACACCATTCAAATTTACACTGAGATTGAGGACATTTCATATGCATACATCCACCTAGAAGAAAGTCAATAACGTGTATAAGAAAATCATACAGGACAAGCAACCATTAGTAGAAATGTAAACATAAGCTGATAATAAGCTGGCATGTCTCTGGGTATTACAGTAATTACCTATGGGTTTCGTTTGAGATCCTACAATTAATTTATGTGTGGAGCTTTTTTAATTTTGCAAACTCTTTATTGAGGACAGCTGCCCAGGGTCTCCTAGATGCCATGGGTAGTATAGAAATGTAATGAATAAATAAATAAAATAAACAGCCGTTGGTTGATTAATTTCATTGAACTATATTTTCAAGAATCATTAATCAGAGGGAGGGGAGAATGTAGTTTATGAAATGTTGCATTTATCCATTCTAAATTCCTTTTCAATTCATGAAATCCTGATTCTGAAGTGAGCCCAAAGAAGACACTCAATGTGAAATGCAATTCTTCTGCATTTATAGTTTCTCTAAAGTCCAGAATGTTGTTTGGGTATCCTTGAATCTGTAATGTTCATATACTGTATTTATGAGAGAGTTATTAGTAGTTGAGGATTAAAGTAGACTCAACAGGAATAGAAATGTCAGAATGTAGTGATTGAGAATTAGATTAGATTCAACAGGATTAGAAATTTACAGGTACAAGCTAAATTTTTGGTTGCCCAGGCCCAGAATGGACTTCCGGAAGCGGCATTCACACAGAGAACCGGTGGTTCACATATCTGAATCCCACCACTGGACACAACTCTGACACGGTAGTAATCACAAGTAACCCTAATATAATTATCATTCCCATCTAACAGCAACCTGAATTAGAGCATCATGGGAAAGCAAAGCAGTGTGGCACCTAAATCCAAATCGGACCAAATTATATTCTACTGAGTAGGAATTATAGACATTGAAATCCAATACATATGCAGGGTATCAAGTTTAGTAAATTCAAAAGTAAATTATCCTGTGAGTTCAGCCTTCTTCTCTTTTCACACACTAATCTTTTGCAGTTTTTGGTTCCGTATGTTTTACTTTTCAATTAAGAATTTCTGAAGGACAACTTTGTATGTTCATTTCCTACAGTGACTAAAAAGTGTTATCTGGTTTCATGATTTTGATATGGTATTTTTGCTCATAGTGAATGATCAGAACTTATCTTCTAGAAAGTTGATAGTTTTATTCATGTCCCAATGGTGCTTTTTCAAGAGGCAATTGAACTTTGATTTTCTTGGACGACGTTTCGCTTCTCATCCAAGAAACTTCATTAGCTCTTCAGATGAAGCTTCTTGGATGAGAAGCGAAACGTCTTCGAAGAAAAACAAGGAAGTCCAGTTGCCTCTTGGAAAAGCATCTTTGGGATAATCATGACCTGGATGACTGAGAACCTCCATAAACAGTTGAATTCATAGTTTTGAAAGTTAAATCACAAAACAGTGAGTTTGCAATCAATTCTAAAAAAGTAAAAATGGTAACCATGCTAGGTTACACTTGGTATATCGGAGTGCTTTGCAATGTTGTTTTAAAATCTGCCTATTGGGAGTGTGAAATATCCTTCAGGAAACTCACCATCTTTTTCTACTGGAACATGGCATTTAGGGCACGGCTTTGTTGTTCTTTTTATTGTTTCTTTGGATGCACCTTCCCATCGAGCTTGCACAGCTGCATGCTCATCAATTTCAAATCCCTGCAAAGAGAGAAAAACCATGAACTCTGGATAAGTTACACAAATCATGACACATGTGGCCACTTTCTCTAGATTGTACTTTTTTTTTTTGCATGCATAGGATAATTGGAGTAGTTGTATTATACCAACAGCTGAAAGTTTATTATTAATAGATGAAGATAGTCCTTGACTTACAAACATTTAGGGACTGTTCAAAGTTAGAAGGGCACTGAAAAAAGTGACTTATGACTGTTTTTCACACTTACAACCACTGGAGTATCCCCGTGGTTATGTGTTCAAAATTCAGATGTTTGCAACATTGGTTGCAGTGTCCTGGGGTTGTGTGATCACCTTTTATAACCTTTTGACAAATAAAGTCAATGGGGAAGTCAGTTTCTCCTAATAACTGTGTTAGTAGCTTTAACAAGTGCAGTGATTCACTTAACAACTGTGGCAAGAAAGGTCGTAAAATGGAGCAAAACTCATTTAGCAAATGTCTTACTTAGCAACGGAAATTTTGGGCTCAATTGTGGTCGTAAGTTGAAGACTACCTGTATTAAAATATTGACCAATGCCCAGAGTTTATTACAATGGTACGTATATGGGAAAGATCTTGGGAGATGGGGGTCAAGGGATACTGGCAAGAAAACTATCAGGTAAGAGACAGCATAGCCTGCAGTTTGATAGTGGGCAGGGAAGAGGCTCAGAAGGGACCCCCCCCTAGTCTCTCAGGCTGTAAAGGAGACTGGGAGGAGGACTGTAGTTTCAGAATTGCAATGATGCTTTGCCATAAGGTAAAATTAGTTAATCTGTTTGTGATTCCTATCCGGTTTGCCCTGCAAGGCCAACAATTATATTAATTTGTATTAATACACAAATACATGACCCAGCTTCTTTTTCTTGGAGCATGCATTTTGCTGCATGTAACTCTGTAATTCCATTTTAATGAAATGTTTCTAAAGCATAATTTTATAAATTAATAATCATAAATTAATTGCTTGGAAAGCTCACCATTTCTTGATTACCCTAAGAATATAAAAGGACATTACATAAAAAGATTTGGGCTAATTTCCTTCTTTTGAGTTGTTGCAATTTGATACTTCATTCTGTTTTGTCTAGACAATTAATTCATTTTATTATTATAAAGATAGAAGTAAAGTTTCCCCTGTCCAGTTGTGTCTGATTCTAGGGGGCGGTATTCTTAGCTGAGGGAGCCAGCATTATATGAAGATGCCTTCGTGGTCATGTGGCCAGTATGACGAATCACACAAAACACCGTTACCTTCTCACCAAAGTGGTGTGTGTGTGTGTGTGTGTGTGTGTGTGTGTGTATGTGTGTGTGTCTGTCTGTCTGTATATATATATATATACACACACACACACACACACACACACACACTTTTGAGAGCGGGCCTCAGAATTTTATTTTTAATGTGTGCCAGTATTTTCACAGAAAAAGTGACAATAAGGGTTATCTTCCTTGCTTTTGTTCATGGTACCTGTTTATCTACTCGCATTTGCATGCTTTCAAACGCTACGTGTGTGAGACCTGTGGCAAGAGCCCGTCGCTTAGCACAGGAATCTCAAACCCAGGCTGTCAGCTTCGCAGCTGACGAGCTCAGTGTCTTTAACCCCTAAGCCATCGCACCCATTCACAAAAAGAGGAAGCAGTCAGAAACCATTAGCTTTATTTCTGCACATTGAACAGCCTTTATTTTTGGATTTTGAAGCTGAAATTATTTGTGGTTGTGCAATATTATTTTATCAAAGCCAAGTTTTTAATGAATAGGTAAACTCGTGTTGCTGGTATCTCTACTCGCTTGTTTTGGGAAAGAGATCACAAAATCCCATATTAAAGCCAAATTCTGACATTGTTGCTACCAGCTACACAAAGTCATATCATAGTAGAAAATAGCTACTAGGCAAAAAGGAACCAGATTTCAAGAGACATAAACAGTTGTTCTCAACCTGCATGAAGCAAAGGATTATTCATAATTTTCTCACCATCTTCTGGGGAAGACAGGTATTGCAGGTCTAAAGTTAGGAATCTGCCAGTGTTTTGTGCATACACTGCTCTATGCATGGAAAACTGTGTTTGGGAACTCTGTGGCCAAACTGAAACATGTCTCAAGATATGTTAACCCCTATGCAGAATGAAAGAGGGATATTTTGTCCCAGATGGTAACCAAAGTGCATTTATTCTGGGCAGAAGTAATGTGAGTGTGGGGAGAAAAGCAGGAAAAAGAACATTATTAGATGTGGTATGCAGTTGGGGGAATTTTCCAAAATCGTGCAATGCTCTTCTGGATTTGAGAAAGAGCAGCCCTTGCCATATGCAATAGTGTGCTGGAGGGCTTATCAATTTTCCACAGAAAATTTTCTGTGGATTTTGAAATTTGCAAAGGTAAGAGGGCAGGTTGCCATCCTATGGGCATTTACCTAAATATACATTTCACGAAATGGAATAAGACTTTCTTTTGATAGGCATGCAGTAAATTGCACTGTAATTTGATAACTGACTTTAGGAGTTTAACCAGCTTCACCATTTCTATTTTCAGTTTGTTCTACTCATCTGCTAAGAAACTCTGCTCAGAATAACTTCAGCTCTTCTCAAATGGAAGTTTATCATAGGGGAACATTATGAATTCTCCCAGGAATGACCACAAATGAGAAGAAACTCTAGGAATGTGGTTTCTTCCTTAAGAGGTTTTATTTTTGGTTGCCTTCTCCCCCTTGATTGTTTATCTGGTGCTGTTTCTTGCTTATCTCGGTTTTGATTGCTAAGGAGGATGTGCTTTGTGCTGTTTGCTTTCTTCCTGTGGTTTTGGTTATGCCATTTGAATGGCAGGTGGGTAGAGATTTATCTCTAGGTATCTGTTGATGGCTGAGCTGTCAAAACATCAAAATGCTAGGTCTTTTAATATAATATTTGAAATGGTAAATTTTATAAATAAATTATGTTGATAGTTTAGTTTGTGTTTAACTGTGTGCACTGCCCAGAGGTCACACGCAAGAGAGATGGGCTGCTATATAAATTCAGTACCTACCTACCTATCTACTTACATACATACATGCGTACCTTGAAAACAATATGATAATATGTCCTTGAGAAGCAATTTTGCATTGTTTATGTGGTTACCTTTTTAAAGACAACTATGGGTTTGCGTGATGCACAAAATTAGCTATTTCTTTAAACTCCTATTGATAAATAGAAAGCTCCCCCCCACCCCTGCCAAGTCATACAGGTGATTAACGTGTAATCTTGTACTTTGTAAAATATTCTGGATTAATTCACAGATTATAAGAAAATCACTGGCCGATTTCGAAAAGGGTTCCCAGCACTTTTCTTCAGTAGCAGAGTGCCACCAGGTGCAAAATACGAAGGCTGCATGAAGTGAAAGAAAGGGCTTAATAAAGTCACTGGAAATTGGAGGACAGAGAAGGTTACTGAACGGCTGCGTTGGCATGTTCCTGTTCTTGGTCATAGGAAAGATGGTCATGCAGATACAGTATGTAAACTCAAGGCAATTGTTGGATGAGGAAATGTATTTTTTTTCTCCATCCCAAATAGCTCTGAGTTTGATTTGGATCTTATACAGTAGAATTTGATTTGAATCCAAGTACCTGTCAGCTATCATGGCAGTAGATGACATGAAAGTGAAAGGTGGGTGGCCTCATTAAGCCTTCCTAGTACTGGCCTAGTGCAGGGGTAGGCAACCTTGGCTCTTTTATGACTCGTGGACTTCAACTCCCAGAATTCCTGAGCCAGCCAACTGGTCATAAGTCACATTTTTCAGTGCCACTGTCACACTGAGCGGTCCCTAAATGTACTGTTGTAAGTCAAGGACTACCTGTACTTCCAGAACTCTGAGGCGGGATGTTTGAACCATGTTAGTGGTTAACCAGGTTAATCACCAATTTTTTTTGCCAATCTCTTAGTTTATACAACAAAACCACAGCTCCTTGATCTGCTTTCTCAAAAAAGTATGTGCAGAGACAAGCTTAATATTAAAACAACTTTTTTTTTTTACATCAAGATAGTTGGGGGAATGGTGCTTGTAAAAATAGGATTCTGTTTGGGCAGTTTACTTAGATGGAGCTGTGCTCTAGTCTAGGGATCCATATTTATATCTAAATTATAATATTGAACAAAGCATCACTGAAGCTTCTGGATGCATTTCAATGGGATTCACTTAAATGATGATCCAGATCTAGCTAAAAAATGTTATGTGATTATTTCCTGTCAATATATTGGGAAATATCAATATACAAATTGTCTTTTTTATTACTCTTTGAAAACCTGCACTGTCCCAAGACACCTCTTTACCTCCCAAATTGTGAATTTCAAGAGGTTTGGGCACATGTGCTGGGGTTGCTTTATTAGGTGGTTTCAGACAGATGGTTAATTAGATCCCAGAAGGACACTCTCTCTGTGACTTACCCATAAAATTCCTCTCATCCTGTGAAGAAGCAATAGGAGTTATATAATATATTGAGCAGTTCAGCTATTGGCCCATCCTACCACCCTGTGGGAGACATAGGTACCCGCTTAATGTCAGGTTGGATTTGCCAATGTATGCCTGGGAGGTAACCAGCTTTTCCACCTCCCCTGAGGCTTTATGGCTGCCTGGCATTCGTTTTTAAAAAATCTCTCCTGAAGCAGATCAATAAGCATTGGCTCCCTTATTATCTTTTTAATAAAAAAATGACTCTGGGCCCCATTAAGCCCCCTTTGGCACCAGGAACTGATAGATAACAAGAGAGTAACAGAAATGACAATGGTATACTTTTATGATAAAAAAGACACTTTGTTTGTCAGTGACCAAAAAAAAAGACAAACAAAAAGATATAAAAAGGATATACTGAAGGTCTTATATTTGGGGAAATACGGTACTAAATGCATCCATCTGGCTGGCGATCTTATCTGGGGCTTATTTTTGGGGTGGGGTTTATATTACGAGCATCCTGAAAAATCATGCTAGGACTTATTTTCCAGTTGGGTTTTATTTTCGGGGAAAGACAGCAGCTACATAAATTATATATTACCATATATGCCGGCGTACAAGGCGACCCGGTGTATAAGACGACCCCCGTCTTTATCGCTGGGCCGCATTCCTAGAACGTCGTCTTATACGCCAGAAACTACCAGTATTTCCGGCGTATAAGATGACTCGGCGTATAAGACAACCCCAGTCTTTGGTGCCGATTTCAGCGCTCGCGGAAGTCGCCTTATACGCCGGCATTTACGGTATATATAGCTATGGGTAGTATAAAACAGCTATACTTCCATCTCTCAAAATCAGCCATGTCTCAGAAATGCCCCTCAGGTCTTCATCTGTTTCCCCCAGAACTGATTATAGCCGTGGTGGCGAACCTATGGCACATGTGCCACAGGTGACACGCAGAGCCCTCTCTGTGGGCACATGCGCCCTCACCCCAGTCCTAGGCCTTCAGCTGGGTTTTATAAAACCTTTTTGCTTTAGGCCTCCACCGCCGTGTTAAAAAAAAGGTTCAATCAATCAATTTCAACTTCTCGCGGGAAAAAAAAAGATCTCGCAAAGTTGGAACTGATTGATTGAACTTTTTAGTCCTACACAGTCTGCCATTACCACCATAGCCATGCCCACCCAATGAGCCATGTCCACCCAATTGGCCACACCCAGCTAATGGGCCACGCCCACCCGGCACCCGACGATACATAAGTGGTTTTGGATTGCAGTTTGGGAACTCGGTCTCTAAAAGATTTGCCATCACTGGACTATAGCTAAAACATCAGCATCCAAGGACACTTGGATACTGGTCGGCTTAATGAATAATGTGGTTTAGTTTGGATCCTGGCATTCTCTAAGAATCTAGCAATTATGTGCAGCCCCATGTGAAAGTCCAAAAATTAACTTGATAAGGAGTAGTGTTCTCAACTTAATTATTTCTTCATTTCAGCATGACTGTTACAAGAAATAAAAGAAAATTTCGCAGTATGAAACATAAAAGTACACATTAGGACCTCCTCTTTGCTTAAGTTTGAAAGATAAATTGGTTGGCTGGTTGGCTTTTAAAATAATCCTTACACTATCTTGACCCAAATTAAAATAAATTTGCCCAGTCTGGCACTTCTCTTTATGGAGTGAACAGAATTCAGAATTATTGTGACTATTAGAGATAATGATCAGTTCATTCCTTGTTTAAATCTAAAAGCATCCCTTTTTAAATCCCCAAACATTAAAATATTCCTAGCAGTGAGTTGATTGAATGTTGATGAACAACAGCAAATTGGGGAAAAAAGCCCATCTATAAGATAATAGTATTAAATAGACCCAAAAGCCAGTTAAAGAGATTTATTCTGCACCACAAAATTTGTTCAATTTTCTCCCCTTTTTTATAATTTATCTCAATCTGTGCAGTGTTTTGCAAATGTGTGCATTTTTGTTTGCATGTGTTGACTGAATGACTGCATTGCATTATTTCAAGAAATGAAAAAAAAAATGAAAAACTTTCCAGTTTGCTTATTTGTTCAGAAATAACACTGTGCAACTCTTTGGATTCAGTTCCAAAAAATAATTTAGACTATAGATACAGTTTTAAACAGTAGTTAATGGGTGTTATAGTTGTCCCTCTGCATGTTCCAAAGTATGTTTTTGAAATCTAATCTGAAGCATTGCACAGCTCTATTAGAAAGTACAAATTTAAATACTTTAAAATAAAAATCAAATTACTTTCTCCCCATCAGTTTTTATAATCTTCATAATATAGATTACATTTGTGCTTGCTGCTCACAGTGCTGATTTATGCATTAGTACTGTAAGCTGAAGAACTGACATTGGGCTGTAAAGAGGAAGAACGTGGAAGGAAGCATATCAAGCATAAACTTCCATGCTTCTTTATAACAAAAGTTTATGGAAGTCGCATCAATCATTCTCTCCAAAAATCTGAATACCATCATGGTGAAGATAAAATAAGCCTCATTTTCTGAGCAGATGTCTGTCTGTATATGTGTTGGAAATCATGACTTTCATGACTTTATTAAAGTTTTAATAACTACTTCTGTTCCACCTATGGTATGTATAGCAATAGCACTTAGACTTATATACTGTTTCATAGTATTTTACACTCCTAAGTGGTTTACAGAGTCATCATATTGCCCTCAACAATCTGGGTCCTCATTTTAGCAAATTTGGAAGGCTGGAAGTCAACTTGAGCTGGTCGCAATCGAACTCCGGGCAGTCAGCAGAATTAGCCTGCAATCTGCATTCTCACCACTGTGCCACCAGGGCTCTGGTTAAGAGCTAATAACTGTAATACTAGGACTTCTGAAAGGGAAACAGATGTTTACTGCAGGATCTTCTCCCTTTCTGCCCACATGATGTTTCCCACCAAGGCCCTTGTTGTCTCTGTTCTTGATTAGCACCCTCTCCCCCCATGATTCTCTAGTTAATTTTCTGAGATACTATGGAAGTGGAGATATGTACCATTTGAGCTGTGGCTCCTGGACATTTGGAGAAGCTATGGCATTCACCTTCATGGTATTCTTCTTTACATTCACGGCAGAACACAAACTAGAAAAAGAAAAAAATAAACAAACATTAGGAATCAAGGGAGATATGACAGCTGTAGTGTTTTCAGATGATCCAGCACTCTTCTCATCCCATTAAATTCTCATAATTTCTTATTTAGCATCCATCTAATCACATAGCCTGCTCATTAATACATCTGACATGTATACTTTTCTCCAATAAAAAAGCTTCTATTACAAGAAAAAGACTTCTTCTTTTCATTTTATACATGGAAGCACTGAGGTTTATAACAAAAACAGCTTATAAACTTTTGGGGGGAGAGAAGAAGTGGTGGAAAAGCCAGAACTATCATCAGTCTGTTTCCTTGGGCGAGTTTCTGAGATAATATCATTAGAAAATTGGGACAGGGGGCAAACTTTATCTTGGGTTCCTTAGTTGCAAACAAAAATTTTCCCAAAATATTTCCATAACTATTTGATCTTAGAATTTTGGAAACACTGGAACACAGGAGGGACTGCATTTCACATAGAAGATTCTTTTATAGCCATGGCTCAAGAGTGTCTGCCAATAAGTGTTGCATTTTCTTAATAATGAGAAATAGATGAGGTTCCAGCAATTCAGGATTCCTAGAACAATTCTCTAAATTAATCAGTGACTCACTCAGGACAAACATATCCACATTGCTATGTTTAATTCATGTCAAGCACCAGGGAAATCAGACGATCCAGGCAGTTTGTTTATAAAATTGATGGGCCGCCCATCTCACCATAGGGCAGTGGTTGTCAACCTGTGGGTCGGGACCCCATTTGGGGTCGAATGACCATTTCACGGGGGTCGCCAAACAAGGCTGTCTGCCATTTTTTCCCCCTTTTCTTTGGCCACGCCCCTGGCACCCAGTGATGTATAAGTGGTTGGGGGTCACTACAACATGGGGAACTGTATTATGGGGTCGCGGCATTAGAAAGGTTGAGAACCACTGCCATAGGGTAACTCTGGGCAGTCTACAGTTACATACACAATTAAAACATAAAAATTAAAATCAGACATTAAAACCTAAGGACACATGGAGAGGGTTGGGGCCTATGGAGGGGGGCAAGATGTTCCAGAGGGCAGGAGCAACAGCAGAGAAGGCCCTCCTCCTGGACCCCGCCAGTCGGAATAATCAGGTTAACAGGACCGCAACCTGCCTTCTCTGCCAGCATCAGTTAGGGAGGGCCAATCCCAGTAGGGTGAGATGGTCCCTGAGTTAACCTGGACCCATGCCATGAAGGGCTTTAAAGGTGATCAAATGGAAGCCCTGAGCTTAAGATCTCTACAAGAATCTGAACTATCAATGGTAGATAAAAGTAAAAGGAATTCAAGATGAGCTGGACTTAGATCTTTTGTGGATGTGAAAGGATTCATGACTGATGATGCATTTGATCCCTCCCCTCCCCCAGGCTCAGCCTGATCATCTCCTAGAATTCAATTAGGATTCCTCATTTGTTACCTGTCCCATTTTCTAATGTCTGTGAACAGCAGCAATGCGTTGTCAAAGACGGAGAGCCAGCTTATTTTTTCCTCTGTCAGTCGGCAACTTTCATATTAAAACCACTTAGTAAAATCACAGATGATAGCTCTGAATAAACAAAACAATCTAAAAATTACCCTCATGCGTGTATTGCCTACTTCTTTATAAGGCAGAAATCTTGACATGGATCTATGATCCCTACATTGTCATTTCCTAATTACTATTCTTGTGTCTAGAGAAAATAAAAAAAACAAATAAAGTGAAATATCAATTAAAGTATACTTCTGGCCATTCTGAAGTACACTATCTTGACCCATCACTAGAATACCGAAAGATTTCTTTTTTAGCTCCTTGCTACACTGACAAGCCAAGCTGATGGAATACGTCTGATGTTTCGATACAGTGTTGGCTCTTGCATATAATGAATAGACATATCAGCACAACTTGACACTAAAATGTTTATCTGCCTCATGTCACATCTTTGCAGCTCCATTTTGCACTCTGTCATGCTCCTGTTGTCACTTTAAGTGCCGTATGAAATCACAATTCATTGCAGTGCTGCAAAATGTTGCTTATGCAAAATGAAACAGGACAACCTGCTGAGCTATTCTAGAACAAGCTTTGCCTGCAGTGGCTGAAAGGCTGAGGTCCAACTACTTAAGTGCAATGAATTTTTGCAATGATGTTCCCTTTGGAAAGATTTCAGTGGTACATTTTCCAGTACAGACATTACTCTAGTTAAGAACTTTTGAGTTGCAAGTTTTTGCCGAGATGAACGAACCTGCCCACAACTCCATCCTAGAAGAACCTGGAAGTTGGGAGAAAGCAGGAAAGGGTGAATTTCAGGCATGCCACTTATGTAAGGAGCCCTGGTAGTGCAGTATTGCAGGCTCACTGTGCCCACAGCCTGGAGTTCGATCCTGATGGGGCTCAAGGTTGACTCAGTCTTCCATCCTTCTGAGGTTGGTAAAAATCCAGATTGTTGGGAGCAATATGTAGATAATGCTTCTGCACTGTAAACTGCCCAGAGAGTGCTGTAAAGCACTATGGGGCAGTATATAAGCTTAAATGTTGAATGCTATTGCTAACCCTTTCCCATCTTCTCACGACTTCCACTTGCATACTTTTTTCAGATTCACTTGCGGACTTTAAGGGACTGTACTGTGCACAGGTTTTTCTTTGCTGATTGGAATTACGAACAAAATCAATTGATGAACAGTCTTTTGGAATGTAAGCCGAACGTTGGTAAGTAGAGCTCTCTCTGTAGAGGTGGCATGTCATCTTTCCTATTTAAATTAATAGCTGTTAAGCCAGGTGTGCAAAAAGGAGAGTCCCCCAGCATTCCTTTTACACACCATAATCCATCTCTGGAGAAGCTGAGGTTGACTTTTATAGATTTTATTTTTGAAAATTGATGAGATAAGGAGAAAAGCAATGACGCAATGCCTGAAACTCCTTTTGCCTCCTGATTTTTAATAGTAAACTTGGACTTCTGTCGCACAGCCTTAATTACTACACACCTTTGCTTTTATACTTCTCCTAACTCACCAATTCTCATAGGACAGCCCAGTGATGTTGGCCTTCATTGACCCTTCTTTTTATTTTAGAACATGCCACTTTTCTTCTTTCTCTAACCGGACAGATTAATCCATAAGAAAAGGTTTAGTATTTTGGGGTCTCTGAGCTGCAAATATTTTTTCCTATTGGTTTTAGTATGTACTGTTTCTTTGCTTATTATGGTTTATGGTTTTTTTTTGCCACTGCATAGTTAAAAGCATACAAGTAGTCCTCAACTTATCACCACAATTTAGCCCAACATTTTTGTTGTTAAGTGAGACATTTGTTAAGTGAGTTTTGCCCCATTTTATGATCTTTCTTGCCATAGTTGCTAAATGAATCACTGCAGTTAAGTTAATAACATGGTCGTTAAATGAATCCATTGATTTTGCTTGTCAAAAAGTTACAAAAAGTGATCAAATGAGCTTGGGCCACAGCAATAGTCCTAAGTATGAACCAGTTGTCAAGCATCTGAATTTTGATCAAAGGTTCATGGGGCTGGTACAAATGTTGTTAAGTGTCAAAAAATGGTAATAAGTCACTTTTTTTCAATCCCGCTGTAACTTTGAACAGTCACTAAATGAACTGTTGTAAGTTGAGGACTGTCTGTACTGACATTTAGGCTATCTAGAAGGTTATTAGGTCACCTCCCTATGCAAAATTGAACAAACATCAAGTATTAAGAAAACACACTTAAAGGAGAAGCTGTGGTAAACAAATGTAAGGTTTACGCAACTTTTCCATTCTGCAAATGTGGTAGCTATGGTACAACCTCTGAGGTAAAACATTTAGTTTTGGTAAGCAGATCTAAAGACAATATATATAATTTACCACAAATGACGTGGGTCTACTTCCAGTATTATATTATGCTGGAGGGTAGTCATTGCACTACCTTTATTCTGCACCAGGTTGAACTTCCTCTACACAACTCCTCCGCTGCACAACAGAAACTGCAGTGATAATGCAGTTTTCCAGATATGGGGTGATATAAGAGAACACCGTTCCATTAGCAGATATCATTCCATGAAGCGTATTTGAAATATCACCAATATTACTTTATCCTTCTCTACCCAGAGTCATGTACGTGAAACGGGCAGCTATATAAATTGATTGGTTGAAATAAATAAGCCACTTACAAAGCTAAGTGAGCATTATGAAAAGAATCCACTTATGATGAGACTTAGGATCAAAATTTCCAGCGTTAGGCAAGGCATTTGCGTAAGCCACATCTGATTTTATGACCTTTTTTTTTTTGCCATGGTTGTGAAGTGAATCAGTGCAGCGAACCTCACGGTTCTTAAGTGAATCTGGCTTCCCCTCATTAATTTTGCTTATTGGAAGTTGGCTGAGAAGGTTTCCATGGTGATTATATGACATCAGGATGCTATAACCCTCATCACTACACGCTGGTGGTCAAGCACCCAAATTCTGATCATGTGACCATGGGGATGCTGCCACAATTGTAAGCGAGAGGACAGGTTTTAAGTCGCTTTTTCAGTGCCACTGTAATTTTGAACGGTCATTAAGTGAGTGTTTTGTAAGTCAGGGACTACCTGTATAGAGAGAATGAATGTCGAACTGCAAAATAAATGCAGGTAGGCCTTGACTTACATCCATTCATTTAGTGACCATTCAAAGCTACAATGGCACTGAAAACAGTGACTTATGACTGTTTTTCACACTTATGACCATCGCAGCATCCCCCAGGGCCACGTGATCAAAATTCAGAGGCTTGGCAACTGACTCATATTTATGACTGCTGTGGTGTGCCGGAGGGTGTGTGTGTCAAGTGATCACCTTGTGCGACCTGCTGACAAGTCAAGTCGATGGGGAAACCGGTTTCACTTAACAATCATGCTACTAACTTACCAACTGCAGTGATTCACTTAACAAATGTGGCAAGAAAAGTTGAAAATGGGACCAAACCCACTTAACAAATGTCTTACTTAGCAACGGAAATTTTGGGCTCAGTTGT